GCTTCTTTGATACCACTTGTTGGTCCCAGTTGGATTTACAAGAGTTTATAGGTAACAGTTTGTAAAAGGGGGGATGAATACGAACATAGTAACTTTCACTTTTTAAAAATTATATAATGATAAAAAAGATCAATACAAATTTTACAAATTGTTTGCAGAAGATATAGGATACAAAACATATCTAAACAATCTAAGATACACACAAAATATAGATAGCAACAAGAAAAGATTTGCTACAAGAAATAAGGTAAGAAGAAATGTGCTCTTCACTTGTTAAAGTGGGTTTTTCTCTTTAGACATAGAGTAGAGAGAGAAGTAACTTCTTGGGTAAGTTTTGGAGTGCAGAAGAAGATAACTGATAGGAGAACCACTCATTTATTTATACCCATTGCATTTAATGCAATTCAGAAGTTACAAGCATATAGCAAGCTTTTAGAAGAAAGCTTGTCCTTTGCTATAGTATACAATCCTTTTGGCTGTATATGAGCAGTCCCCTTTCATAAAGTAGGTAAGCACATTTAGAGTCAAAGAAGTGGCTCTATATTTTACTATACTTAGAAAGGTATGGGTTTGTCATTTGTGTGTAGAAGGACAAGACAAAAACAATCTTGCTCGACAAGATTCATTTGATCGTTGAACACTGGAATGATGTTGAAGGTCTCATCAGTGTTCGTTGAATCTTGCGCAGACTTCACACTTGTGTAGACGAGCTTCTTATCACTAAAAACCGCTTCAGATCATGAATTTGATGGTATCTAATCTTCAGCTTCTGTCTTCGACATCGCTGAAGGATCTATGGTGTGAGTTTTGTCTTCTTGAAATATATAGGTCTCTAAATGAATTACAATACATGTTCAACGATCATTGAACATACTCAGTGAAGATCGCTGAAACTGAATGATATAAATAATATACTTCGATAGATAAAAGGATCATCATCAAATTATTGGGAGAGATGATGAACAATAAGAACGATGCACTATGCCCTTGTGTTTTTATAAAGAAGACAATTTATGGGTTTTTTTATCATAGTTGTATATGTCGATGATATGAACATAATAGGTATTCTTGATGTAATAAGAGATACTGCAAGTTATTTGAAATCTGAATTTAAGAAGAATGATCTTAGGAAAACTCGATTTTGTCTAGGTATAGAACTACAAGCTATCCATAAAATGCCCAGGCAATTTAATATGGATAAAGCACATCCAGCTAGCACTCTCATGATCGATTGAAGTTTGGATACAAGAAAAGATCAAATTTTCTTAAAGGATGATGACGAATAGGTGTTGGGAGCCAAAATTTCCTATCGAGTGCAATGGGCACATTATTGTAGTTAGCACAATGTACTAGACCTGGTATTGAATTTTCAGTGAACTTGTTAGCTAGATTTTGCCCGGCTCCAACGTCATTGCAATGGTATTAAGAATATTTTTGGATGCCTAAAAGGAACCATCGACATGAGCTTATTCTTTTCCTACAAAGAGAAAAATAGGGTTCAATACCTGTTAAAGGTATTAATAGAGAAAATGTTATCCCCTACAATGAAACCCGAACGATATATTAGTAGGATTTGTTGATGTTGGATATCTCTCTCACATAAAGGTCATTCCCAAACAGGATATGTTTTTACAGTTAGAAACATGGTGATTTCTTAGAATTTACCAAGCAAGCCCTTGTAGCTACCTTATCAAACTATTCAAAGATTATTGTTCTACATGAGGCAGTTCGAGAGTATATATGGCTAAGGTATGTTATTACACATATTAGAGGGGCTAGTGGTTTAAGTTTTACCACTAGATCCTACAGGCATATATGAAGATAATGCAACTTGTATTGAATAAATGGAAGTAACATATATCAAAGATGATAATACAAAACATTTTTTGTGATAACTGGGTCCTGGTTATTACCCGAGGTATTTATTATGTGAATTAATTGATTTCGTGCATACATGCTTACATGAATTTAATATGTGAGTATGTGTATTTTCATGCATGAAAATATATGCATGATGTTAAAATTGTATATGATTTTATGTATGTGTGTAAGTATGCATGAGTATGTGATTTTATGTATGTGTGTAAGTATGCATGAATTTTTATATGCATACATAAAATGGTAGTATACATGCATGGGGTTTTATGAATTAAAATATCATGCCTACATATGGTATGCATGAATATGAAATAATATGTGTAAGTGTGTGCATTAATTTATTTACATGCATGGGATGAGTATGTAGAATGCAAGCATGTGTAAGGGAGTGTAACCGCCTTCTTTTATAGAAAGGTATATATAGGGTGGTTTGGGACGTGAGGCAGGTTTCTTGCCTCATTTGGAAAATTTTGAGAAGTGAGAGAGAGTGGTATTTTGCTTGCTTATCCAGAGATCAAGCTGGTCTTGCCTTCATCTTACTATTTCATCTTCAAAACTTGAGTTTTTCTTTAAGGTGAGTAACTTTTAAAACATCCTACATATGAATTCTATTGTTGGTATATTGAATTTTAATTGTTCCTTAAAATAGTGTTGACCGGATTGCGTTTGAATTTGGATAGAGTGTTGACCGCTGTGATGAAGTCTGGTCACTGTGTTGACCGGACAAAGTGTTAGAATAAATGTTTGAAATGCTAAATCGGTCATAGTGCCGCCCGAGGACGTTCCTAGTCCGGCTAGCGTGCCGTCTGGATATGGCTTAGTCCGGCCATATTGCCTTCCGGATAACGTTTTAAACCGTTTATCGAGTCGTCCGAATACGCGTTCCATCCGATTGTAGTGTTGTTTGGATTAATTGTCGTTTTATCGTGTCGTCCGAATTGTCGTTTTATCATGTCGTCCAGATACGCGTTCCCATCCGGTTAACGTGTCGTCCGGATATGGTTTTTGTGTTTATCAAGTGTTGTCCGGATAGGGAGTCTGGCCAAACTTGTCCGGACATGTGTTGTCCGGATACAACTATCTGCACAAAATGTTAAGTGTTTGGAATATTTGTAATTTTCACAATTTAACAATTATTTGGGTTTAAATTTGTAATTGTGAAAAGTAGTATTTTATATCTTTTAAAGAGAAAAGATAATGTTCCTACTAAGCATGGTGACGTAAGTCTGTTTTGGTATGGAACTGGATTTTGGGAAATGTTTTTACCAAGTGTGGTGACGTAAGTCTGTTTTGGTACGAAACTGTATTTTTGAAAAATGTTCCTACCAAGTGTGGTGACGTAAGTCTGTTTTGGTATGAAACTGGATCTTGGGAAATGTACTACCAAGCGTGATAACGTAAGTCTGTCTTGGTATGAAACTTGTTTTAAGAGGTAGTTCCCCCAGACGTGGTGACATTTGTCTGTTCTGGCTTGGAACTGGGTGATGGGTACTACCTGGCGTGGTGATTTATGTCTGTTCTGGCAAGTAACCTTGTTTTAATGAAGGAATAAGAGTGACATATCAAAGAGAGGTGTACTTTGTAATAAGGGAGGCATTGTCATATGTGGATACTACTATAGCTCTTGTTATTATCACTAATTAGATACAATGATTCTAAATCATCATTTCTTTGTGACTTGATGAATTAGAGATATTGTTCTCTTTAGAAATAAAAATTTAAATGTTATTGATAAGGGGAAAATGGTTTGTCATCAGAGGCATTTATTGTCTAAGTTTTTATCAATATTTTTAATACATACAGAGGGGCTCTGATTGGTCATACTGAAGGACCAGAGGACCTCTGGTTATGTAAAAAGGGTTTTTGATATTTTGGGAATTTTATAAATCAAAGGCTCTGTATTTTCATACAAAAGCTCTGTATTTTAAGTTTTATGTTTTATTCTTTAAAATTGTCTTTTCATTAAAATTATTTATAAATAAAGTTTAAGAGTTAGAGGAGCTCTGATTCTAGTTTACTTGTCCTTTTAAACTATGTTATGTTCTTCTGGACCTAAGGTTTTATTTGGTTCTGCGGACCTCTGGTTGGTCATTAATTTACTTAGACACAGAGGCTCTGGTTAGTAGAACTAAAAACTTTGGTTGGTAATGCTAAAGAGGCTCTGGTCTGTAGAACAAGAGGGGTTCTAGCTCTGGCCTGTTGAGTCAGAGTGGCTTTGGCCCGTTGAGATAGAGTTTTATTTTGAGCTCTGGGTATTAGAAGGGTACATTTGAATTATGTCATGATGTTAACTATTGATCTTATTTTGATCATATTGTGAACTAAATTATTTTGTTGAAATGCAATTATTTCTATGAAAAGTTATTTTATCAGATTTTGGTGTTTAACACCCTGCATATGCAAAGAAGAGATTTACTCACTAGACCCTTCTGGTCTAACCCTCATTTTGTGTTTCAAAAATATGCAATGCAGGGACTGCGGTGTCCAGTGATATTAAGGGAAAAAAGGAAAATGTGATTATTTTCCTTACTTGATATCTGATTTTGAAGATCAACATGAGATTGCTTATTTTGAAGATACATGTTGTTATACATGTGTTAGTACAAGATTTTATTTTGGAATTTTTTCATATGTAGATTTTGTACATATAAGAATTCATGTACTATTGGGACCATTGTGGTGTAAACTGTATTTCTTTGTAATGAAATATATGTTATATGCACATGTGCTGTTTGGGGGTGTCACATAATGGTATCAGAGCCTTAGTTTAAGAGATTTAGGTATTCAAAGCATAATGCCTAGACTTAAACTGTAATTTGTAAATTAAGGGTGATAGTATCATTGGGAATAAAATATTATGGGTTAAAAAGGGCAATATGTAAGGTGAATTCGAATTACAAATGACCAATGTAATTATGAATTTACAAGTACGTACCTATACTCGGATACTTTATTATATATTTGGGAATGTGAATACGTGATATTTAATACTATAATATCTGCAGATGGCTAGTCGATTATGAATATCTGAGAGGATCACCCGCCCCGAGTCTGAAGAAAGGGAGGAGTCTCCTATCAATCCTCCAACTAATACTTATGGGAGTCGAGGTCGGGGAAGAATCATGGGCAGAGGCCGAGGGAGGAGTCAGGCTCCGGGAAGAAGTCAGGTTGAGATTCGCCCTGATCAAGGGGAATCTATCTCTGGGAATGTAAATCAGGAGCAGGGGCATCAACCTGAATTTATAACTAGAGATGTTATGGCAGAGAAGATGGGTAAACTGAGAGAGACTCTGGTATCCATAATGGGATTGCCGGACAGAGTAGAAACCGAGCGAGTTGGAATTAATCTTCCAGCTCATTCAGCAAGCAGCAATAACAAGGGAGGGGACATAAAAATGTTCCTGACTTGGAAACCCCCAACGTTTTAGGGAGAAAGAGATACAGTAAAAGCGATGTGCTAGATAAAAGAAATTGAATCGGTATTTAACACCAGTAGGTGTTCTGAGTATCTATGTTGAAGTCTAATGCCTTATATTGTTGGGATGTGGAGTCCTCAGCACAGCCAAATATTTTGCAAACAATGCCTTGGGAAGAATTTGTGACTAGATTCAAGACTCAATTCTGTCCTAAGACTACAGTAAGGCTAGGGATGGTGATTTGGCCCGACCCGGACAGGGATGGGGATTCCCCGCTAAAATGGGTACCGGGGTCGGGGCCAGGTATTGTATCCCCCGACCCGCCCCGTACCTGGTAATATTGACCTACTTCATATTTGGGCTTTGGCTATGGGGATTGGGGCCTGGGCTTTTGTTTCATGTTTCATACACGCAGCACGGCAGCAGTAGGAGCAGACGAGCAGTACGGTCCCTCGACCCACAACCCTCAATTGTCAATTCTCTTCTCTTCTCATTCACACAGCACTCACACACCCTCCTCAACCCTCGTCGTCGACTCGCCGTGATTGTTGTTGCCTTGTCGTCGACTAGCGTCACATCCACACAAGACCCACAACCCTCGTCGGTCGGCTGGCTCGTCCTCGTCACAACCCACGACTCAATCGAGGAGTAATCGACCCACAATCACAACCCTAGCCGTCTTCATCATCGAGTTGCATCAGTGAGCCACTGCCACAACCCACAGCTACCGGTCGTTGCCTCGTTGGTCGTTCTTCACTGCTTACTTCTTACTGCTTATAGCCCACAGCCACAACCACAGTGTCTTAGCTGCTTTCTTCATTATTGCATAGGTACATTAATACTAAGTATTTATATAATTTTGCTTACTTATGAGTATTTATAGGCATTAATCCTCAAGAAATACTTAGTAGTGCTGATTTTGATGTTGGCTTAGCTTACTGCTCCATTATTAGTAACACCCCCTCCCCTAAAGAGTAATGAATTTATACTCTGTATAACTTTCTTTCCTAAATTGCTTTTTCTAATTTCAGAATTGATGTGGGTTCTTTGAGTTATTCAATGCTACTAGATTAAACCCATTATGACTCATTATGATAGCATCTGTATCACTGTATGACAACATATGTAATTCTGTATAATTGACAGCATCTGTATAATTGAGTCCATCTTGAAAAATGTTTAAGGTTATTTGAGTTATTCAATGCTACTAGATTAAACCCATTATGAAGGCATATGTGACTGTATGACTGTATCACTCATCACTGTATGACAGCATCTAACAGCATCTATCTGTATGACATTGATAGCATCTATATAATTGAGTTGATGAGTTCATCTTGAAAAATGTTTAAGGTTCTTATTGGAAACACTAGAGGATTGACTTTAAATAGTCAAACTTCATCACTTTTTATGGAATGAATAGATTATAAGGAAATTAATTAGTATTGAACTTTGCAACTTACAACACCCCCTAAAGAAAGGTAATAAATTACTAAATTAGTATTGAACTAATTAATGTTTATTGATTGTTGTTGTCTTTTAATTTGAATGTATGTCATTGTGCCTAATTTCATATTCTTTTTCTAAGATGGAAAATTCACAAAGCAAGAACATAGAAGATATTGGACGTAATGCTACGGAAGGAAACGATAAGGATAATACGACTTGTAATGACACAAACGAATCTGTAAGCATGCCTATGGGTTCAAATATTAGCCCCGAGACTGAAGTCAGTGAACCAGCAAACAAAAGATTGAAATTTGTTGTCTGGAATCATTTCGAAGCAATATATATCGATGGTCTTCACCGATTTGCAAAATGTAAGTATTGCAATAAGTAGATGACCGGTAGACCTAATGATGGGACAACACATTTGAAAGATCACTTCAAGATATGTCCGAGAAGAGTTACAAAAGACATAAAACAACATATTCTAGTTCAAGAGCAGACTACTAAGGATGTAAAAACATCTTCATTGAGTAATTATAACTTTAGTGTTGAAAGCTCAAGAGATGATTTAGCTAAAATGATCATTCTTCATGATTATCCACTTTCTATTTTTGAGCATCATGGCTTTCGGAAGTATTCAAATGGTCTTCAACCTTTATTTAAGGTGTCTTGTAGAGCTACAATCAAGTCTGACATCATGAAGATATACAAAACAAAAAGAGGTGGTGTATTGCGATGTTTGGAAGAAAACGAAAGTATGATTGCTCTTACTTCGGATATGTGGACAGCCGGTAACCAAAACAAAGGTTACATGGCACTAACAGCACACTACATAGATGCCAATTGGAAGTTACAAAATCGGATTATCAGGTTATTTCCTTTTTTTGTATTTTGTGCTATTTTTATAATTCAATGTTAATATTCTCATTTTAATATATTCTTTGAATCTTTGATGCAGCTTTATACGTGTGCCATCTCCACACACTGCTGATGCATTGTCCCAAGTTATGATCGAGTGTTTTATGGATTGGAACATTGACAACAAGTTGTCAACATTGACACTTGACAATTGTTCAACAAATGATGCTTTGGTTGACAGGCTCTTAGGTACTCTTTCTCCTTCCTCCTTAATTTTGAAGGGTAAGTTGTTTCACATGAGATGTTGTGCACATATCATTAATCTCATTGTACAAGATGGGTTTTCTATGATTGAGAAAACAATCAAGAATGTTAGGGATAGTGTCTCATTTTGGACTTGTTCTCCTAAAAGAGCCCAAGATTTTAGACTCGTTGCACGACAACTAGGTGTAGATTGTGAAAGAGAATTAGTGCTTGATTGTAAGATTAGGTGGAATTCTGTTTATACAATGTTGAATGTTGCTTTAGAATATAAAGATGTCTTTACTCGTTTAAGCAAGAAAGAGAAACATTATGTTTCTTTACCTAGTGAAGAGGACTGGAGAATGACGACTAATGTATGTGATAAGTTAGGTTTATTTTATCGTGTGATAGAGACATTCTCCGTGACCAAATATCCCACTTCCAACATGTTCTTCCCTTTGATATGTGACATAAAATTATCTATTAAGAGTTGGGAAGACGATCAAAATGACGTTATTAGGAACATGGCATCAAGTATGTTGCTTAAGTTTGATAAATATTGGGGAGTCATACATGATGTGATGAGTGTAGCTATTGTTCTAGATCCTAGATATAAGTTAAAGTTGATAAATTATTTCTTCCCGAAGAATTATGGTGTGGACTCAAAAGATGAGGTTATGAGGATACAGACTCTATGTAATGATTTATTTGAGGAGTACAAAAAGAAACATGATCAACATAAAAGGAAAGGACAAAGTGGCACTACTGTTTCAAGTGAGGGGAAATCTTCTTCAAACAAGGCCTCATGGCAATTGGATTTTGAGAATATGATCTCTGAGGATGATATGTTTGAAACGACTGAGTTGGATGATTATTTGTCAGAGAAATTATTACCGTAAGATGAAGGGTTTGATATATTAATATGGTGGAAGTGCAACGGTGTCAAGTTTCCTATCATGCAGCGGATTGCGAGGGATGTGTTGGCCATTCCTATTTCAATAGTAGCTTCAGAATCGGCTTTTAACATGAGTGGAAACAAGGTAACGAAACAACAAAGTCGACTAAAATCGCAAACAATTGAGGCTTTGATGTGCAACCAAAGTTGGCTAAGGAAAGAAATTGAAGATAGTAATTATATAAATTGTTTGTTGTAATAATTATGTAAATTGCAATTGGTATATAAAATTTTTCTGACTTGCATTATTTTATTTCAGATAAAAAACACGGAGAACCAAAAGGATTTGATCAAACGATTGGATACGATGAAGATGTTGATCCAACTTTTTCCTATGCCAATGAAAGAGTTCGACGTTGTGGTGGGGATGGATTGGTTAGCTGGAAAATCAGGCCAATATTATGTGCAACTAGAAGATGATCAATATTGATCTACCGAGGAAAGGACCGATTGTAATTTATGATGATTGGCAGGATCACCATACTAACTTGTTATCGGTTCTGAAGGCCCGAAATTGTGTTCAGAAGGGATGTCATAACTATCTGGCTTACATGGTAGACTCAAAGAAGGAAAAGAGTAAACAAAAGTTAATTCCAATTGTATGTGACTATCCGGAAGTCTTTCCGGAAGATTTGACTGGTCTACCACCAGATAGATCTATTGAGTTCAGGATAGATCTAGTACCCGGGGCAACACCAGTGGCAAGAGCACCATACCGGCTTGCACCGTCAGAGCTGAAAGAGTTGGTTAGTTAGTTAAAGGATCTCCTTGACAAGGGTTTCATCAGACCAAGTACCTCACATTGGTGTGCTCCGATTCTGTTTGTCAATGCGGATGTGCATTGATTATCGTGAATTGAATAAACTAACTATTAGGAATAAATATCCTCTACCAAGAATCGATGTTCTTTTTGATCAACTGGTGGGAGCCAGTTACTTTTCAAAGATCGATTTGCGATCAGGATACCATCAGTTAAAGGTTAGAGAGGAGGATGTTGCCAAGATGCTTTCCGAACTCGGTATGGACATCATGAGTTTTTGGTTATGCCTTCCGGTCTAACCAATGCTCCTGCAACTTTTATAGATATAATGAACCGAGTATGTTGTGAATATCTCGATAAATTTTTTATTGTGTTCATCAATGATATTCTTATATACTCCAAATCTAAAGAGGAGCATGCTGAGCATCTTCATTTGATCCTTGAACTTTTGAAGAAAGAAAATTTGTACGCTAAATTGTCCAAATGTGAGTTATGGTTACGAGAAGTCCAATTTCTGGGTCATGTTATATCTGAAGCATGAGTGAAAGTTGATCCTGCTAAGATTGAGATAGTAGAGAAATGGGATGCACCGAGAACTCCTTCGGAAGTCCGTAGTTTCCTGGGGTTAGCAGGGTACTATCGGAAATTCATTCAGGATTTCTCAAAAATTGTAGTACCATTGACGAAGTTGACTCAAAAAAACATTACGTTTCAGTGGGAAGAAGATCAAGAGAAAGCTTTTCAGTTATTGAAAGATCATCTGTGTAGCACTCCGGTTCTGTTTTTACCGGAAGGATCAGAAGATTTCATGGTTTACAGTGATGTTTTGAAGCTAGGTCTGGGTTGTGTTTTGATGCAGATAGAGGAAGTAATTGTATATGCATCCATATAGCTGAAAGATCATGAGAAACAGTATCCAACACACAACATGGAGCTTGTAGTAGTAGTTTTTGCTCTGAAGATTTGGAGGCACTATTTGTTGGGGACTAAGTGTCAGATCTTCACGGATCATAAAAGTCTCCAACATTTATTCAATAAAAAAGATCTAAACATGCGGCAACGACGATGGATCGAGTTGGTAAATGATTATGGTAAATGATTATGACTGTGAAATCCTTTACCATTCGGGGAAAGCTAATGTGGTAGCAGATGCTTTGAGTAGAAAAGAGAAAAGTGGTACAATCAGGAATGTGGCTATGAGAATGAGTCTGTTGCCGAATCTTCATGATGAGATTGCAAAGTGTCAGGGGGAAACTGTTAAGGAAGGTAACTTCAAGTCTGAACAGGTGAGAATATTAATTTCTACTTTGGAAAAGAATGACAAAGATCTTTTGTGTTTTCAAGGTAGAATATAGGTACCGTGCTATGGAAATATCCGGGAAGTTATTTTGAACGAAAGTCATAAATCTCGGTATTCTATTCATCTTGGCACCAATAAAATGTACAAAGACTTAAAACCTTTTTATTGGTGGTCTGGATTGAAGAAAGACATAGCAAAATATGTGAAACGATGCTTGACATGTTTGCAAGTGAAAGCTGAACATCAAAGACCATATGGAAATCTTTAGTCTTTAGAGATTCCTATGTTGAAATGGGATCATATCACGATGGATTTTATTATGAAATTGCCTCGAACTCCAAAGGGATATAATGCCATATGGGTGATTGTGAATCGTTTGTCGAAATTTACGCACTTTCTTCCGATAAAAGAGAATTATCCGTTATAAACGTTAGCAAAGATTTACATTGAAGAGATTGTGACCAGACATGGGGTTCCGTTATCCATCATTTCAGACAGGGATAGTCGGTTTACATCCAAGTTCTAGGAAAGTTTTCAAAAAGCTTTGGGTTCTCATATTCGGTTGAGTACGACGTATCATCCACAAACTGACGGGTAGAGTGAAAGAACAATTCAGACTCTTAAAGATGTGTTGAGCGCTTGTGTCATTGATTTCGGGGGATCGTGGGAAGATCATCTACCGTTAATTGAATTTTCCTACAACAATAGTTATCATTCCAGCATTTAGGCGACACCATATGAAGTTTCGTATGGCCGTAAATGCAGAACGCCGTTGTGTTGGAATGAAGTGGGTGAAAGATAGTTAAAAGGGTCAGAAGTGAGAGAGAGTGGTATTTTGCTTGCTTATCCGGAGATCAAGCTGGTCTTGCTTTTATCTTACTATTTCGTCTTCAAAACTTGAGTTTTGCTTTAAGGTGAGTAACTTCTAAAACATCCTACGTATGAATTTTATTGCTGGCATATTGAATTTTAATTTGTTCCTTAAAATAGTGTTGACCGGATTGAGTTTGAATTCGGATAGAGTGTTGACCGGAGTGATGAAGTCCGGTCACTGTGTTGACCGGACAAAGTGTTAGAAGAAATGTTTGAAATGCTAAACCGGTCATAGTGCCGCCCGAGGACGTTCCCAGTCTGGTTAGCGTGCCTTTCAGATATGGCTTAGTCCGGCCATAGTGCCGTTCGGATAATGTTTTAATCTGTTTATTGAGCCGTCCAGATATGCGTTCCATCCGGTTGTAGTGTTCGGATTAATTGTCGTTTTATCGTGTCGT